AGGACAGAAGGGACCAGAGTGAAGGGGCTCTTCTTAATCACATCTAGGAAAGCCTAAACATCAAAATAGCTACAGTAATATAAATCAATGAAAAACAAAGAGTAACAAGTTCATGCCACTAATAGATTAATAAATCAAAAGGAGAGAAAAGGGGTCTTTCTTAAAGCTGATGGCTGATAAATGTGAGTGGAGTAAGAGAGCTGGAAAACTCACATTTTGCAACCATCACAGTAAAAGACTGAATCAGACAAAAATCCTCAGTAAATCCCAATTGTACAGGAAATCTTGAAGAGAAAAAAGGTATTTTCATCATTTTAATATGCTGCATCTCACCACCAACCCTCCCTACCTTCAAGGGGAAGAAAAAGACCCAAACTAGGAATTACATAGTGAAGCAACCAGGTAATACCACGTCCAGGTGATCAAACTTAACAACCAATAAGGGACAAATGGCCCATGTGCCTCCAGATGTGACCCTGAGACAAACACAACTTCACTCATGAAGTTTTATGTCTGGGATGCATGATGTCGTCCCAGTCACAAAGAAATGGCAGCAAAATACAAAATGAAACATTTTCTGTTTTTAAACCATAGGGTACAACTATATTCTTTAAAAAAAAATAGACAATGTTATAAAGACAAAGAAAGGCTATGAAAACGTTCCATATGGAAGGACTCTAACTGTACTCGATACTCCTGGCGGGAAATGCCACAAACGGTACTCCTGTATAGAAGACAGACGATAAAGGTACAGCATCAACATAAATTTATTAAGATGATAACTGCATTGTGGCTATATCAGAAAATATCCTTATTCATGAGAAATATCCACTGAAATCTTTAGTCTGTGGCATAGGTAGCTTATTTTCATATTTTTAGAAAAGAATAGTGTGAGAAGAGAGAAAAGCACAAATATTAAGGAAGTGGAATAAAGTACAACTAAACTCTGGGTAATAGCAGATGAACATGTTCTTTGTAATATTTTAATTTTTACCACTCTGTAAATTTGGAATTATTTTCTTATATATAT